AGCAGGGGGCGAGCACGAGGCAGCTGATCCATGACTCATCATAGATGTTTCTCTCTCTCCCTCTCCTTTCTTCTCTCTGAAATCTATAAAAACATCAAAACAAAACAAAACAAAAGAAACTCCTCCTCACCCTCCCGCTCCCCTCCATGGCCTGAACCTGTTCTTTCTCATTTTATCTCCTGCATGTTTGGTCGGGATTCTCAGGGCCAGACATCTCATCTACTCTTGTCTCTAATGCGGTCCTCTGCCCACGACTGCACTGATCAAAGAATGACCTTTCCTCTTTGAACATCAATGGCACCTTGTGCCTGCCTCTCATGTGATATTCTTAACACGTCCCTTAGACGGAGCGCCTTTGACGTCAAGCTCATCTCCTGTCCCTAGGCCGCCAGCTTCCTAAGGGCAGAGCCGGGCTCTTACACAACCTCGCCCCTCCTGCCCGGTGCCCAGCGGCGCCCCAGTGCCGAGTGAGCGTGTGAGTGAAGGAACACGGAAAGTCAGCTCTCTTTCAACTTCATTTTCTTTCTCAGTAGAACTGCCTAACAAGCTAATTGTTCCGCAACCTCAAAAATGAAGGAAACACAAAGAAAACACGTCCAGTGTGGCAGTCCCTCCTCTCCTCGGAAAAGCCATCAACTTATATTCATTTGTTTATGCCTTCAACATCACTTATTGATGACTTGCAACCAATGAAAAGCACGGGGGGAGGAAATGCTATTTTTCTTACTTGTCTTCTCGCCATGATTGTCGTTGGATAAAACCTTTCTGATTTTCCCGTGTGCCATTTCTTTATTTCCTCCCCATTTCCGCTGAGATATAACTGACAGATAACATAGTATGAGTTTACGGTGTTGATTTGATACACTTACAAGTTGCAAAATAATTACCACTTTCATCGTGTCTCGTAATTACCATTTCTTTTTCGTGATGAGAACATTGAAGATCTACTCCCTTAGCAACTTGAAGTATACAACAGAGTTAACGCCATTTCTTTATCCCATCACCCTTCCATGCACCCTTCCCACTCACCCACTCAACATCGTGCGCTTTCACCCTGGGGATATAGAACTAAGACACAAAACTAGAGCATAATTCGCCACTCCCTCACTGTGGGCTGTGCATAGTGACTTCTTTCAAAAAGTACGCTGTGGAAAGGGGAAGAAATGCAGAGCCGGCCAGTGGGGAAGCCTGACGAACTCCTCCCCAGCAGCCGACCCGGGTCAGCATCAACAGCGGTAAGTCACGGTGACAGCATGTGCCCTCTGGAGGGCGGGATGAAATAATACTTGATCTTTGTGGTCTTCCTCCTAAAGCCCATAACCCAAGGCTCATACTGAGAAAAAGACATCAGAAAAATCACAACAGAGGGACATTCTTCGAAACACCTGCCCAGTCCTCCTCGAAACTGTCAGGGTCACCGAAAACAAAAGGAGTCAGAGAAACGGCCACTGACCCTGAGAGTCTAAGGAAACATGATGATGGGGTCTGATGTGGCATCCGGATGGGAGCCTGCGATGGAAGATTAGGCAACACTCAAGAAACTTCAATAAAGTATGGACTCTAGTTAGTAATAACAGAGCGACATCGGTTCATCGATTGTAATGCACCCTAATAATTAAGACAATCATGGAAGCTGAGTGTGGGGGTACATGGGAACTCTGTACTATCTTTGCAGCTTTTCTGCAAATCTAAAACTGTTCTGAAATAAAACACTTATTTGTTTAAAATGGGATTGATTAGACTTCAAGAATGTTAAGGAGTGCCTGGCCGGTGTGGCTCAGGGGTTGAGCGTCAACCCATGAACCGAGAGCTCACGGTTCGATTCCCGGTCAGGGCACAGGCCCGGGTTGCGGGCTCCATCCCCAGCAGGGGGCGCACAGGAGGCAGCCGATCAACGACTCTCATCATTGATGTTTCTCTCTCTCTCTCTCTCTCTCTCCCTTCCTCTCTCTGAAATCAATAAAATCATATTAAAACAAGAAAATGTACTGCAAAGAATGACACCAAACTAGATAAATAGAAAGGAGCCATAATAATCCCCATTTGTCTTTGTGTAGCCCTTTCTTAGCTTACAAAGCATTTTCACCTATATTATCCCATGGGAGTCTAAGAAAAACATAAAGCAGACAGAGCAATGATTAATAATCTCATTTTACAGAAGAGAGAGTGNACCTATATTATCCCATGGGAGTCTAAGAAAAACATAAAGCAGACAGAGCAATGATTAATAATCTCATTTTACAGAAGAGAGTAGATATTCAGAGACCGTAAGTGACCTGCGTGGGTCTGCCCCCCTCCCTGGCATGGACGGGGCTGGGACCAGAACCACACGCCAGGCTCCGGGCTGGGCTGGTTTCCTCCGTGCACCCAGGTGTGCACAGCAGGGGGAGATGGAGAAGACTCGGGCTTGAAAAGAAAGGCCAGTATGGATCTTTATCCCGAAAGACACATACGTGAACAGGTAAATGCGTATTATGTGAGAAATATTAAAGGACTGATGAAAGAGAGAGAAAGAAACTTAAGAGCACGGAAGCTTTTTAGTTCGACCTTAAGTTAGTTATTCTTAGACTAGAAACGGGGGGCATAGAGCAGATAATATAGAGATTTTTTAAAAAAACAACACCCTACACATCTGGATCATTACGTGCTATTCACAAACAGCTGAACAGGAAAGGAAGGGCAATGTTATAGAAGCCGGTAGCTAATACTGGTGAGAAAGTGGTCTAAATTTATATCGTCGAAAAACATGACTCAAGGAGAAATAATCACGGCCTATAAATATCCTCCAAGCAACAATATGCGCGGTAAATAAAGTAAGTGAATTGCGCATAGCCTTAGGTCCAGGCCACTTCTCTTTGTCCAGTTGTCTAAGGAAGACAATGCTTTACACCTGAGCTGGTGTCGGCCTCAGGAATGAAAACAGCCGAGGAGACCGCAGGGCTGGGGCTGCTGGAGGGACCCAGGTGTCGGGCTAACAGGGCCACAGGGGGTGGCCTCCGGCTCTCCACGTGAAGGATCGGATAGTCACAGACCTCCACAGGGTGTTTTTATTTCTCCCTTACCTTTGAAGAGGAATAATGAAGAATAGAATCGAATCTGAAAATCTTTTGGTTACTGGACGGCTTGACCGAAAGAACAAGTGGACTGTGAATAATCGTAAGGAGCTCTGCTCGGACGTCGGGGGTAGTGTGGCGCCGGGTCCCATGACAAGCACACAGGTTGGCCAAGTCGGAGACACTGGGCCAGGGTTCTCCTCTCAAACCTGTCACAGACCCTGCTGTGCCACAGTTTTCTCAGGCCCGTAAGGTGACCAAATCACATCCTAGATGGCAAAGCATTTTAAAACCACTGCAAATCTTTACTAATTATTATCATTGTTAGGACTCTCCCAGACCCTATGCTTCAAAATCATCATTTCCCACAAATCTTTCTTCCACACGATAGTTTTCTCCATCTTAAATGTTTCTAGGTTTTCTGATTAAGTTTCACGAGCTCCTTAAGCCACCAGTTATTTCAAAAGACCTATCTGGTCCCAGCACTTGTGGCAGCCTAAATGGTTTGAATTGCAGCAGCAGTGACCCTGGGCAGGCCCCTGCCGTGCACAATAGCCCTGGTAGTGACATTGAAAATATCAGGAGCTTTCTAAACACAGTGTGCTCAATTCACCCACAGCCCAATCCAAATCCCAGCAACATGTTCCCACTGTCTTCCCAAGGACAGCTTTTCCAGCCTTGCGGAGAGGCCGCCTGCATTGTGTTTGACTTGCCATTTCCTATGCACGGAGAGGGGCCGGGATCATTTGACAACCAGATAGTTTGTCCTTAAATGGGCAATGGCTCCTTATTAACATAATAACTAAGACCACGAGTTGTGCTTTGTTGGTCTCTTATGTAAATAAGATTTTCAAACCACCATTTAGTGTATTCACTAAAGGCTACTTGCAATGACTAAGGACTGCCAGCTATGAACTGGTCCCCGAGTTGGGACAACAAGTGCTAGAAGGAGAGTGGGGGGTATCAAGCTAAAAAAATACAAGTATTTCTAAGAGAATCTTTGGGGTTTGTTTTTCAGCTCATAGCAATGGTAGTCTAGTGCTTCTCCAATGGTCGTCTTTTCTCCAGAGGGTAGCCCAGGAGCACTTCCATTGAAACTGGGCCTTTGTGACAATATCACCCCCAAGAAACTGTAGACTTTTGCTTATTACAATGAAAATACCTAATAGACTTTGACAATTAAAAAAAAAAAAAAGCCTATACAATGAAGGCAGAAGGTCCTATCCTATCCCTGTTTACACAGGCGTGCAAACACACACAATATGTTAACGCATTTGGAATTGTCTCCATTACAACTGTAAAGTTTATAAAAAACACAAAGCAGGATGCAGGTGTTGTCTGCGCTAACATCCTATAAAGAGAAATTAGTAGAGCTTCAGCTGCTACTGGATGCTTTCCTGAGTTGGAATTCGCCAGACCTGCAATATTAACACAGAATTATGGAAATTGGAAACAAAGAGCTGGAGCCTACTGGAAATGACAGGCTCAAGATGAACTCAACTGGAAAATTTGGTTAACTGAAAGTGGCATCCTTTGTGCTGGGATTTTTCTATCTGAAAGCTTCAAAAAGGCTGTAATTATTTTCAGTTTTCAATTCATCCCTTTCAAACTAAGCCTTTTATTTTCTTCATTGCTCTGTACCTTTTTCCTCTGCGTGAATTCGGGCGTTTGCCAAGCACTGACGTGGTAAATTCATATTGGTTTTTTACATATACACATTTCCAGGGAATTGTAAGTAACACAACTTGTGCATCTTCTATGCCAAGAAAAACAAAGGAATATTTGTACATCAAAACCTTTATCTTGTGCACAGGCTCAAAAATACCTGAGTGTGGCCAAATAAATCACCCGAGAAGAAACGGCTGATTAAGGCCAATGAGTAATTTCTTTGCAAGTTAGTGCTTTTCCTGCATTGTGAACCCAAGGAATGCAAGAACTCCGACTTACCTGGTGGCTTTTGGGTCCCAAATCACAATGTCAGCATCTGATCCTACAGCTATTCTTCCTTTTCTTGGATAGAGATTAAAGATTTTAGCTGCATTTGTGCTGGTAACTGCCACAAATCGGTTTTCGTCCATTTTACCACTGTGCTGTAAAACCATTCAAGAAAAAAAAAATGCATTTGTTCTAATGATCAATATTTAAGGATCTCCCATCAATCAAAGTACAAAACTTGTAGCTCTTAGAACCAAATAGAATTGCATCTGATTTCTTATATTGTGGAGCCAAACACGCCTCATAATGATAAATGATGGAGATGATGGGGCAACATATGGAAACCCAAAGATAACTTTTCAAAAATACATCAGCTTTAAAAAAATGCATCCACTATTTTTTTTTCATCTTTCCCAGAATCACATATACAACAGCTAAATGTTAGCAACGGTATTTCTAATTCTCATTTAAAGTTTACTGCCACCACCTACTACATTTATAACTTACATTTATTTATTGCAGACCCAAGATGTGTGAGTGATCACGCAGACATGAGATGGGATTTTATAGAGTTAAGGTAAGACAGACTTTTAAGTCAGGTGATAACACTTTTTGAAAGAGAAAAATCAGCTCAAGCGTTTCAATTTTGTGCAATTAACTTTACATGAACCAACAATTATGGACAGTCTATTACAAAAGATTTTTAAATGGACAGACATTGGAAGGCTGTGACCCCACTAAAATTACTTTTCTTAATGTTGAGAGTTTGTCTACATACATTTACATGGTCAAAGCATCCTTAAGATTTATTTCTTTATCAAAGGGTCCCTGTCTTAAAAAAGAATTTAAGAACTATGTCCTGAAAGTAATATTCCCATAAGTAAATAATCTTAATGCTTCACAAAATTGTTTGTTGTATGATACTAAGAAATATTCAATCATTTTAAAACCATTTATATATTTGGGAAATGTAATAGATTATGAAAATCTGCTGTAACAAAGATACTTGTAATAATATAAGTTTCTTGGACTGTTATCAAGAAAATGTAAGAAAAGAGAAGTCATCTGGGATGGTTGGAGTCAGGATGGAGAACAAGGGGGGGGCAAAGATGATGATTGCTAGAACATAGGGCTACAGAGATGTTTTAAAGACCCTTATGTATATTAATTGTTCAAATATCATCCTAAAAGTAATGGAGAAAATGAAAGGATTTCAGAGAGGAAAGTACCATGAACAGACCTTCGTTTCTGAAAGGCGACTCCTGGTATTGGAGTATAGAATATAGACTTAGCAGGCAAGGCTGGAGGCAAGGGCACCAAATGTGGAGACTACTGCAATGGTCCAAACAATAAACGGGCCTCAAACGACAGTGGTAGACGTGAAGATGGAAATAAGAAGGCATTTTGGAAATAAAATGGACAAGGTCTGGTAGCTAATTAGAGTTAGAAGTGAATGGAGTCTGCAGGGGGTTCTGAGGAGTGAGGCATGATTACTGTGTCATCTCTGGGGGGGTTTCTAGGAGACGGGTGAGAAGGCACCACAGTGGGGACCTCAGGTCTAACCAGCCGGGTGTGCCCTGCTGACCTTTCCAACTACACGTCAACCGGCGTGACAGGTTAACATGCGAACATTTAGCTATTTGGTTCTTCTGCATCCTCAGGGAGGGATTTTTAAACCATGGGGATTTAAAAAATCTTTTTCTAGATTTTAAATAATTATTTATCTGCCCTCATACAGCTGTTTTTAAAATACAACATCCAAGGGTCCATAAAAAGGGACATCTGCAAAGATGTCGTGAAAAGGAGGTATAAACATAATAACAATTCTTCCCGTGTTTTCAATCATTCCGAGAATTTCTATCGACACACGAGCTGGGGGTCAAGAACACGAGAAGTCAGGTAGAAAGGCCGCACATTTCAAAGACTTCAAGAACCGGCGCTGGTACCCACTCGACCTTGATGCCCTAACGTGTGCCAAGCGGCGCAATGCAGAGCAGACAGTGACGCCCTTGTTATCCCGGGCACGGGGTGGCGGCGACGGGGCAGCAGCCCCTGTCCCCACCACAGCGAAAAGCAAGGAGAAAGCTCCTCGGGAAGGCCATGGCCACTAGCCCTGAGCACGCTGGGCCCTGGGCGGAGGACCAGGCAGCACAGGCTGGGGCCTGCGGACTCACCACGCCCTTCTCCCAAATCACCGACATGCGGTCCTCGACGCCGTTCACGCCGTTGGGGATCTTGGTGAAATCGTCCTTCCCAAGAGCTTTCTGGCAGGTGTTGAAAGTGCAGTTGTCAGTCCCGGTTGTGGTTAGGTCACCACTGTGAAGAAAAACACACCAGAGGGACGGGGGTGAGTGGCTAGAACAGGTCAGGAGGAAGCGCCCGTAGCCCTCCCTCACCCCCTGGCTCCCTCCTCAGTGACTTTCAGAAAACTGCCGTGGAAATGAGCGGCTTTTCCGAGGACATATTTCACCCGCTCCCATCCCCCTTCCAGGAAGCCCTTTTGGAGGATTGTTTTCGACTCAGTCCCATCACTTACAGTGCTGTGATTACAAGCTTATCCAATGCTCAGTTTCTCATCTAGAAATTGGTAATTATATGTACTTGATGACAATTAGTTGGGGACCACTGGTAATAATGCAAGTGAACATTGCTTGTGAGCAGAGTACTAGCCAAAGGTGTCCCGTGGTGGCCTCCGGGAACAGAGGCAGGGCCTCCAGGGCGGCCCCTGGCCAAATGGGAACGTTGTGATGAGCAGAGATGTGACACTGGTGCATCTCTGGATGTTGATGTCACCAGCCCTAGGGATCCTGCTTTGACGTCTGAACAGTCATGGGGATGAGGGAGTGTGAAGGAGAAAGGAGGCCGAAAGGAAAGGGCAAGTGCATTCTTGTATAGTCTGTTGTGAAAAAGCTCTTCCTTAACTTGAATATGAGAATCTGTGAATGGGGAGTGTCAGGATGTCCATGAATGGAGCAATTCTCAATAAAATAAAATAAAATATAAAATAAAATAAAATAAAAAATAAAATAAATAAAATAATAAAATAAAATAATAAAATAAAAAATAAAATAAAATAAAATAAATAATAATGATAAAAAAGATCATAATGTCCCAGAAAGTTGTGTCTCTGAAAATAGTTTGGATGACCTTCCATGGGGACAACCTACTCAAAGGTAGGATTTCGCCTTTCCACCCCTACAGTGGTTCTGCCCTGGATTGTAACCTATTGTACCTGTACAACAGGTACATCTGGTTCCTAAGTTATATCAGCATAGGAAAAAAATTCAAGAATATTCTGAATGATAAAAATAAAACATAATGCAGAGACCTGGCTCTAGGCAACAAGAGATAGAAAAGACAAGGGAAAAATCAGAAGAGAGTAAAAGCACAATAAAAATGGTCTGACTTCTCTGCGTCCAGGAGAGATCTTGACACTATTTCTTAATGTAAGTAAGCCAATGCTTTTTGGTCTCCAGAGGAGGGACTGTCCCCGGGCCTTCAGGTCAAGTAGAACAGAATACTGGGAAGTCAATGGTAAGAAACGACCTCCTACGCTCAAACCTGAAACTCGTAAAACACCTTATTTTGGCAAAACACTCCACAATCCTCTGCTAAATGATTACTTAGCCAATAGATTCATGAGGTAGTCAGGAGTGGAAGGGTCTGGCCTCAAGGGTGGTCCCATAACGTGGTGGGCTGCATGGTGCCATTCTTTATGCCAGTAGTGAGTGCCATCTGTGCCCAGACTTGCTGCTATGGGTTCTCCATAGACCACNAGTCATGGGGATGAGGGAGTGTGAAGGAGAAAGGAGGCCGAAAGGAAAGGGCAAGTGCATTCTTGTATAGTCTGTTGTGAAAAAGCTCTTCCTTAACTTGAATATGAGAATCTGTGAATGGGGAGTGTCAGGATGTCCATGAATGGAGCAATTCTCAATAAAATAAAATAAAATATAAAATAAAATAAAATAAAATAAAAAATAAAATAAATAAAATAATAAAATAAAATAAATAAAAAATAAAATAAAATAAAATAAATAATAATGATAAAAAAGATCATAATGTCCCAGAAAGTTGTGTCTCTGAAAATAGTTTGGATGACCTTCCATGGGGACAACCTACTCAAAGGTAGGATTTCGCCTTTCCACCCCTACAGTGGTTCTGCCCTGGATTGTAACCTATTGTACCTGTACAACAGGTACATCTGGTTCCTAAGTTATATCAGCATAGGAAAAAAATTCAAGAATATTCTGAATGATAAAAATAAAACATAATGCAGAGACCTGGCTCTAGGCAACAAGAGATAGAAAAGACAAGGGAAAAATCAGAAGAGAGTAAAAGCACAATAAAAATGGTCTGACTTCTCTGCGTCCAGGAGAGATCTTGACACTATTTCTTAATGTAAGTAAGCCAATGCTTTTTGGTCTCCAGAGGAGGGACTGTCCCCGGGCCTTCAGGTCAAGTAGAACAGAATACTGGGAAGTCAATGGTAAGAAACGACCTCCTACGCTCAAACCTGAAACTCGTAAAACACCTTATTTTGGCAAAACACTCCACAATCCTCTGCTAAATGATTACTTAGCCAATAGATTCATGAGGTAGTCAGGAGTGGAAGGGTCTGGCCTCAAGGGTGGTCCCATAACGTGGTGGGCTGCATGGTGCCATTCTTTATGCCAGTAGTGAGTGCCATCTGTGCCCAGACTTGCTGCTATGGGTTCTCCATAGACCACCTTCCCTGGAAAGTTAAAAGGAAGTATTCAGCACCCGAATTTGTTCTTACAAGAACCATCTGACAAACACATAAATATGAGGCTCTTCTCTCTTAGTAAAAGAAAATATGAACCCTAAACCTTTAGTGAGCAGGATTTAAAAATAAAAACTACTTTCTATTGAGCATTTACCATGTTCCAGTCAATGTGCATTGCATGTTATGGTAGATGGTTGTACCCACTCACTGATACCCCCAGACCTGGCCACATGGTTTACTTTGGCCAATTAAATATGAATGGAAGTGACATGTGTGCTTCCAAGCAGGACTTGTTGAAACCACAGTGAGTTTGCCATCCCCATTTTCCCTCTGTCTTGAGACCAGCCGAGGTTGCTCCTTTAGTTGTGTCTCCGATGGCAGAGAACGTGGACCTGAGGCGGAACCAACCCATTATGGACGTGAGGGTGAAAACGAAATGAATCTCTGTAGCTGCTACTGCAGTGTGACCCAGCAAGAGCTGGCTGACGCCTTTGCCATTCTAGAGGAATCTTTTCAAAACCCTATATAGGAAATGCTATTATCTCCATTAAAAGATGAAGATAGAGTTTATGGGGTTAAATTACTTCTCTACTGTTACATGCCATGCACTCGATATAGACGGGGTGCAGGAGGTAGGATCTGAGTCCAGGCATTTGGACTCCAGTGGTCCTAAGTCCTATGCTATACTACAATTATCATATGGTCACATGGAGTTCAACCTCAGTGTATCTCTGTTGCAAACAGATTGATAATCTTTTCACACCCTGAAGAAAAAAAAGCTCCCTCTAAAAACATATTAAGTAAAAGAACACTCAGATAAAACTGTAGCCAGAAATGCATATTTAAAAAATCATGCAAATGAGGCCATCAAAAGCACACACAATGTTAGAAAAGTTAATAGTGCAAGTGAATTTGAATTTAAAATCAGAATCCTATCTCTGATTAGCATTTGTCAGAATAATAGATTCCCTGGCATCCAGCTGATCACATCCAAGCAGTCATAAAGGAGAGTGCATAGTAAAGAGATGCTGGCATACCAAATTAGTTCTCTCTAGTTAACCAGATGCCAGATTTTAGTAAAAATCCTGATACATAACGGAAATTAACTGATTTCCTCAGGGACTCCTGTCAGTGGATGGCCACCGGCTGCCTGAGTCATATTAAATTGGAAAGTAGCACCCTTTTATCTCATAGATCATTTCTCCCTCACACTAGCCACTGTCCTCCAGCTGGCCTAGGAAGTTGAAAACCCAGGAGGGCAAAGCTCATGGAAGCCTGACACACTGCTTCTTAAGTAACCCAATATCAGAGGGTGGTCGATTGAAGTTCCTTAGGGACTTAGCCACTGCTGAGGTCCTTTGCTTTCAGGATACACACACACTGGGCGAATCCCATCCCCTTCCTGTTTGTCACTGTCCTGGTCCCAGAAAAGGGGAAATAACCATAAATCTCTCTCTCTGGTGTGTGTGAAACAGGCAGTCTTTTTAAATACAAGCTAAGAGGTAATGTGTTATTTGCTGAAGAGATAACAGGACGGACACGATGTTTTATTTGCAGGTATGACGAGACCTTTCTATTCTAAGAGAACCTCTGACAGAAGCACGGACAAGGGGACACGCGGAGACTCGATCAGCAATCACTTTACAAGTTGCCAACTCAGGAGTTTCCGTGGCGCTTCGTCACGGAGGAAAGGCCTCATCACACGTTCTATTCAATCATTTGGCCCATCAAGGTGATGTGAGAACACTGTTCCAAAAGTCCGACAATTTTAGTAGTGCTCAGGAAATATTGAAAGTGTCAGCATCTACCGGGAGTCTGCCAGGACTGCTTTGAAACCAGATAGCAGGTAATTTCCTTGGAAGGGCTTAGCTCCTTTAAATGTGACAGCCGCTTTTCGGTAAATACAACAAGCCCTTTGTTAGCTGGGCTATTTTCAACTTTCTCTCCATGAAGCATCTATAAATATAAAAAACTGAAAAATAAAAGAGTAAAATTTCCTAAGTGCTCTTCCCCTATTTTACAATGGTTCTAGACATTTTCAAAGGACCAACCAGCCCACGAGAAGTAAAAAGGGGAAAGAAAACAAGGGGCCCGGATAAGCCATTAAATCAGAGAATCAAACTAGACAATTCGGCAGGACTGTGGGTTCTGTTAGATTTGGGCTAAAAATAAAGACAGCTAATATATGTATAGCACTCTAGAGTTTGCCAATATGGTTTGAAGGTCATAGATCTCGTTTGACCTTCATGGCCACCCTCCTGCTGGTTGGACAATAGACTGACGCTCAGTGAGACTAAATTGCCCAGACCCGGGGCAGTAAGTGGTGCCCCAGAGTTAGAACCGCAGTGTTCTGCATCTGCACTGTGTCACTAGGATACGTGTCATTTTTCATTTCTTGGTAAAGAGCATGAGTTTTTATTATTTTTTAATATTTTCTTTTTGTTGTTCTTTTTTTAAATTGGATTTATTGGGGTGACGCTGGTGAAGAAAACCACACAGGTTTTCAGTGTACAGCTCAATAACATCGTCTGCACACGGCATTGTGCGGTCACCACNCAAGAATGCAGCCAAAGTAGCCATTTACTGCCTCCTTTAGGGCTAGGAGAGAGCACCCAAACCCCAGTTTCAGATATTTAGATATTGAGTCTGGCTCCATCATGCATAAAATACTGTCAAAAGGAATGGAAATACCATTCATCTCTGATATTTCAAGACCTAGATAGAAATCCCTAGTGTTAGCTCCTGTATTCCACTGTGTGTTTGTGTTTGTGTTTCTAGAACATGGAAATGACTGCCTTATCATTTTAATTTGTTTTAGTGACTTTGTTTGCATCAGGATGGGTACTTCAAAGATGAACTCGGTGACTTTTCTAAGTTTGCATTTCTAATTTTATAATTAAATTTATTAGTTTGGCATTGGTTAATAAGATTATATGGTTTCAAGTGTACATTTTAACGATACTTGATTTGAAAATTGCATTGTGTGCGTTCCACCCAAAGTCAAATCATCTTCCGTCACCATATATTTGACCCCCTTTACCCTTACTACCCTTCACCCCCCTGCCCCCTGGTAAGCACCACACTGTTGTCTGTTTTATTTCTTCTTCTTAATTCCTTCACCTTTTTCACCCAGACCCCCAACGCCTCTCCCCTCTGACAGCTGTCAGTCTGTTCAATGTATCCATGAATCTGTTTCTATTTTGTTTGTTTATTTTGTTCATTAGATTCCACATATAAGTGAAATAATAAGGTATTTGTCTCCCTCTGATGGCTTATTTCACTTAACATAATACTCTCCAGGTCCATCCGTGTTGTTGCAAAGGGTAAGATTTTTTTTATTTTTTATTTTTTATGGCTGAGTAGTATTCCATTGTGTAAATGTACCACAGCTTTTTTGTCTGCCCCTCTACGGATGGGCACTTGGGCTGCTTCCCAATCTTGGCTATTGTAAATAACGCTAAGAGCATGTATTTTTAAATGTTTACATTTACACATTTAAACTTAAATGTTTACATGTTGAGACCTGTCAGAGAAGGTCGAGAGATGCAGAGACGCTGGCGTAGGTGCCCGGGGTGGAAGCATTGGCTACCAAACGGAAAGCCAGGCACATTGTTAAAAATAATTGTTCCTAGCTAGAAGGGCGTGTTTTGATTTAAAATATTACATGTACAAAGGAAGACTATAATTGAGAAGGGAAATACACAGAAGCAGCACAATAGAGTAGATCACACAGGCTTAGGTTCAAATCCTGATTTTGCTACTTCGTAGTTGGTCACCTTGGGCAAGATGGGTCTTTGCTCATACCCTCAGTCTTTCTCATCTATGAAATGGGATCACAATGTCCCTCTAGTGCGGCAATTTTGTGAGGATCAAAAAAATGAATGTATATGGAAGTATCTAGCATCTTCCTGGGACCCTGGAGTCACTTCGTGATTTGAACTGAACTGTGTCGCTTGGCCAAAATGCAAATGTTAAAGCCCTAACCCTCTAGTGTCTCAGAATGTGACTGTATTTTGAAATAGGGTACTTTACAGAGTAATTATATTACAATGAGGTCATTAGCATGAGTCTTAATCCAATATGACCAGGGTCCTTATCAAAAGAGGAAATTTGGACATAGACACTCTGTGAAGACACAGGAAGAAGACAGTCACCTAGAAATTAAGGACAGAAGCCGGGAACACATCCTTCCTTCGCTGTCCTGGAAAGGACTGACCCTGCCAACACTTTGATCTCGAACTTCTAGACTCCCGAATGGTGAGAAAACACATTTCTGTTGTTTCAGCCACCCAGCCTGTGGTTCTTTGTTACAGCGGCCCCAGCAAACGCATACATTCCACACATGTTAGTTCCTTCACGGTTACACCATTCTCACTTTTAAAATGTTTTTAAATGATCCGTGTTCAACTGCTTCACCATTGGACACGAGGCAAATCATCTTGCTCTAAAAAAGACAAGGGGGTACCCAGATGTTCAAGTACCAGAAAGGAAAAAGGAAGCCTGAGAGTCAAATCCACCCTGAGTTGGCCGCGCACCGGTTCTTTCCTAGGAGCAGCTCTGGTCCCCAAGCGTCAGCTCATCAGAAGCTCCTCACTCAGCACGAACAAGCCACGGTCAACACGACCGCGTGGGGGGAATGGGCACTGAGTGGGTCTCTCTCCCCCTTTCTCCTCAAACACAAGAGGAATACAGGCTGGGGCGAAATTAGTTTACAGTTGTGAATATGTGAAACACAAAGTTTATTTTTGTATTTCTATTTATTAATTCTTATTTTCCATACAAACCACTGTAAACCTACTTTTGCTCCACCCGGTACATGGGAAGCAGAGTTTAAATAAAATAGAAAAATAAGACATCTAATATCCTTCTGTAAAAGACATGGCTAGCTTACAGCACCAAGCCTGGAAAGCAGAGCTGTCTACAATGAGGAAAACCAAAACAACAAAACCCAATCTGAATAAAAAAACAAAAACCCAAGCACAAGACAGCTCAGTTCACTGTAAGTTACTTGAAAACCAAACTTATCTTAATCATCTTTGCGGGTCGAATGCCTAGAGCACAGCGTCCGGCATAGATGTGATGCCCAATAACTTTAAAAAAATAAAACGTATAAAGAAAACGTGTGATTAATAAGTTCAAAGGGGAGTCCTGTTTTTACACTAGAGACAGGAATCTGGATTAAAGTAGAGTTGAGCTTTATCAAGACAAATTAAAACAAGTTAAACTGGAAGCTAAAAAAAAAAAAAGCCCTGAAATTTCAGTGATAATTGGGAAACAAATTATAAGATAAATACCAACTAGAGCATCGGGTACGCTGCTGAGAGACATCACCACCACTCTAAGCACAGCACCAGAAAGTAGTGAACCATCCGAACAAGAGCAAGTCCCACGGGAGGTGGGAGGAAAGGGGAACAATACATTTTTTAAAAGACCATTAATAATTCCACATGCTAATATTTAGCAGAAAAGGAACATGTATAACCCAAACCACTCAAACCAAAATAAAAGGTGTCACCGAAGCCTGTGACACCTGTGGACACATCAACTGGACAAAGGCTGGGGGGTGGTGAGCGAAAGAGGCCTGCAGCTGGGCGGCCTGGAGTTTCTGCGTCCCACAGGGTCGCAGCTGGTCTGTCCCACCTTCCACGTGGGCCACGGGCCACGGAGCGGGTCCTGCTTCTGCATCTAGGGTAACTGCGTGAGGACAGCGCTCTCTTGCCTCATTTTTGCAAAAGTGGCTTCTGGCAGGAAGGATGGGAGCTAACCTAGTTCTGTTTATTACCCGACTTAGATGAACCAAGGCTTGAAATAAACATGAACTTGAAATTCCCTGCCGACTGTCAATGGCTTGGGTGTGAGAGCTTTGCCCCCTTTCCTGCAACCTGCTTTTCACTTCCCAACGCAGGTGCTGGATGCTGCAAGGAAATATCGAGGAATGAACGAAGGGAAACCTCAGGCTTCGAGGTACAGCTGCTGGGCCGAACGCACATCCCAGTTCCTTCCTCCCCAGTTCACATCAAAACCCTGGTGGAGATGTGCAAAAGGTGCACAAAACCCACAGCTGGGCTGAAAACGGAGGGACCACAGCTGACCAGACGTTTGGGGAGATTTTAGGAAGCCAGAGAGCACATGAGATGGCAACAGCTAGTAAAGGAAAAAAGTACGATACAGAACACCCTGTATAGTATTTTACCTTCCACCTAGAAAAGAAAAGGGAAGTGAGACTATACATATATTCTTTTTTCCACCCAGAGAAAAACTATAAAGATAGGCTAGAAATAAATGAATAAAAATAATACCGTCTCTGAGAATACGTTTTTAATATATATAATTTTGACTTTGGGACCATGTAAATGTTTTACCTATTCAAAACCAAAATTAAATATAAAACAATTCAAAATAAAATGAAATGCTCCTGCGTGAGTTTTCCGCCTATGATTTACATTCTGAAACCTTCCCTAGACTTTTTGCTCTGCTCCTAATGGAATCCTGTCCCGAAGCGAATTCAATACCCGAGATGGAGAAACTGTTTCCTGACAGACCTGTCAAAACCGTAGCTGGCCGGTGGATTAAGACGGCCCGGACCGTTCCTGCTGAGCGTGCGGTTCCCTAACTCAGGTGCTGACGTTAGGGCCCTGACAGGCTGCTGGGGCACCACTGACAACGCACATCATTTTAGAGCAACCGCTGCATAAGGTCGGAAGCAGTGCCCTCTGGTGGCAGGAACCTAATGTGTGACTTTAAAACTGCAGTGTTTTTAAGTGTGGAGCTCTTTTAACTGAAATTACATTATATGGGGCGGGGGGAAGCAACGGGCGGAAATGGTTGGTAGTAAGACCTTATTAACTCCTGTGTGCAATCAAGCTTACTCCTGACGGATTACATTTTGAGAATGCATTCGGGCACCTCTCCCTTCCCCCCTCCTTCCCCCCTCCTTCCCCCCCAGGCGTGCATCTCCTAAACTCTGAGGATCCCCACGCGACTTGCAACCAGGGAAGCAATGGGCAGCTGCAGCTCCGCCGGGCTCACCCCCTGAACCTGTCTCCAAGGCCCCTTTTTCTCTGACTTTCCAGTGAGCTCGCAGCAGCCCCCCTAGGCTCTCCCCTGCTGCTGCTTCTGTCCTGAGCCCTTCTTTGTTTCACTGTCCCCAGCTTTAATAAACGTACTCTCAAAATTTAAAAAAAAAGGCTATCCCTGATTATTCGATTTCTGAAAGTGAGATGATAGAAACCATTAGCACATCCCAGGAAGGATTAAACCTTTGAAGAAAAGGCCCCTTATTTGTTTTTTACCCTTTCCCCGTCACCAGTACTGGCAAACGGATGAAATTATTTCTCTACCTGATTCTTATAAAAAATAGGAGATTTCCCCTTTCTTTTATGATGACTATTTACATAGTAAATTGAACTAAAGAACTGAGGCAATTAGGCAATTAAGGATAAAAATAAATTTGGGCTTTTTAAAAAAAATATGTTTTGCATTGATTTTAGAGAGAGAGGAAGGGGGAGGGAGAGAGAGAGAAACATCAGCGTGAGAGAGAGAAACATCCTCCTGTGTACCCCTACCCGAGACTGAACCCGAAACCCGGGTGTGTGCCCTGGCTGGGAACTGAACCAGCGAACTTTCAGTGTATGAGACTCTGCTCAACCAACTGAGCCCCACCGGCCAGGGCAAGACAACTTTGGTTTTACAATCATAACATAATTGTCATAAAAATACTCTTTGGATAATTGTTTCAATTGCATGAACGCCCAAGTTGTTGTGAGATGAATCAATTCAATTCAAAAAAAAAATTTGTTGAGCCCTACTACGTGCCCTGTGCTACCGGGAGGGACAATGGAGCCAGATGCCTAAGAGACAGAGCAGCTTCTTTCAAGTTAACTGGAGAGTTGGCCTTTGGCCACCGGATTGGGACTGACAGTGGTGTTAAGGGTGGGCCCTTGTGACTAAAGGAGATGTCTTACGGTTCCAAGGATGGCGAGGAGACAGCCTGAGGGGAGGGACGCGGGCACAGGGGCGAGCTAAGGGGACGCGGCAGACCTGGGCAGGGACGCCAGGCAGCAGGGGGGACGGCGAGGGAAGGGCGGCCCCGGGAGCTCCTCGGGCTTTCTAAGAGCCGTGGGGAATTACCTTCCCTCCTCGCGGCCGCGATCACCTTGGCTGCGGACTTGCTCATGACGTGCACCACGTACAGGGGGCAGTTGAGGGCGCTGGCGATGGTGATGGCTCTCAGCGTGGCCTCGGCCTCCACCGCCTCGGGGCGGCACAGCTCGTGGCCCTCGGGGCCTGTGATCCCCAGAGCCAGCATCTTCTTTGCTCCCTGCAAAGGCATCAGGAACACGCACGCGTGCAGGGAAGGGTTACCAACGACAAAAGCAGCTGCTGGCCTGTAAGAGGAACGCTGACGGGGTCTAGCTCTGGTAGGGACGGGTGTGCATGAGGGAGGCGTGTGCAGTCGGTAAAAATAAGTTCAATTCTCTGAGCGTGTATGTTAGTTTTCATATACATAGTTCACAATTACATTATTTTTATTGAAAAGGTGAAACAGGTATGAGGTGAGGCCTAATCGTTCCTTGAAAAGCAATGTTTATATTTGAGATTGATTTTTGGTTCAGAAGAAACAAAATAAAACAAAACTACGCTAATCCCCAATATTAGATCCTTGTGGAAATCACCCATGGTATTATATTACGTCGTTAAGTCTACTTGGTACCAAAGCAGCCTTCACCGCCCTCTCCCTCACCCACCGAGTGACACTGGACCAGGTATTTCCCTCTGCAGACTGTTAGGGCTTCCTTACAAAACAAGGCAGGGAGTCAAGAGCGCGCGTGGGAAGCGGCCTGCCCGGCGCCACGCAGCTGGGAAGCGGGGACACCCTGGTCTGTTTGTGTTTGCAGCTCAAGCTCCCCTCCCATCGCCCTCCTGCCACCCGGCCGCCCAGCCTGCATCTCACCGACATAAATGGGGACCGAGCCCAGGGAGAGAAAAAATCAGCTAATACAGAGGGTAGGAGACAGAGCTTTAAATCTGGCAGGCGGCGCACCCTTCGGGCATTCATAATGGAACTAACGAGAGAAATAAATATGGGCCAGATTCCTCCAAAACACTTTTTACCCCCCCGTTTCTGAAACGAGTGAAACTTGAAACAGCTACCTAACGCACTGCTGAAGCCGTCAGATTAAGCTGATGTCCACACTGGCGCTCCGAAGCGGCGGCCTGAGCTACACAGAGAATAATATTTGTGTTTCTATAATAAAACATCTTCGAGATCCAATAGAATAGCTGGTTTGAAAATGGAAAATCCGTATTCAAATGCCTATAAGACCTGAGCAAAATTCAGAGCAGCGACTCAAGTAAACGGAATTCGGGAGGGTTCTGCCCTGGCTGGTGTGGCTCAGTTGGCTGGAGCCTGGCCTGTGCACCAAGGGGTGGCCGGTCTGATTCCGGGGCGAGCGAGGGGGAGAGACAATGACAGAGGTTTCTGTCTCATATCCACATCTCTCTCTCCCTTCCTCTCTCGAAAACCAGTAAAGTTCTTTTTTAAAAAAAGAAATAAATCGAGTGTTTCTAAACCTCAGAAAACTTGGTTCTTCCAGTGCATGACATGAGTTCACCTACTTAGGGCCGATCGCCTTTCCCCTGAGTGGCGGTCGTTTCGCTGCTGTGGGAGCTGGGGACGCGATTCTCACCTCGGCGATCAGGTCTCCGTTTTCCGCGTGGACCTGAGCGATCGCCCCGATGTCCTTGCACCAGGAGAAGGCGGCGTAGAGCTCCGTGTCCCTCACCATGTACACGTCCTTATAGGCCATGAACATCTTGAAGGAGTTCACGCCTTTATCCTGGGCGAGGACTTTCATTTCTTCTTTAACCTAAAAGGAACCAACGACAGGAAAATGTCACCATTTAAGGTAAAGGTGATTTCAGTATTTTCCGGAACGTTGCATTTTGAGGAAGAGTTAAGTAAAATAAGGACAGTTTAATTCCAGAAAAGAGGCAAGTAAGGCCTTGCTTGACCTTCCCCCCACGTTAGACTCCATTTCACCTGCTGCTACGATACTTTTAAATCCTGGAAAAGTTCATGGTTTTCCCCCAAATACTTCCTTTCTACACTTGGATATAAATTTGCAGCATCTATCTCCCGATATGAGGAAGTTATTCTAGAAAGTGAAGATAAAGCCACGGGGCAGCAACAGGAACAGTTGTGTCTCTAGAAGGAATCAAAGCTGATGTGAGGCAAGGGGCTTGGACTCAAAACCCGTTCCTCCTTCAGTAGAAGAGCCTTTCTGAAGGTGGCCTTGTCAGTCACCCCTGTCATTCGCATCCACGGGTAAGCCCCACGACACTGCTCTCACAGCAGCTTAGTCCTCGCCACTGCCCAAGGGTGGTGCTGGACCAGCAACATCAGCATCACCTCGGAGCTTCCTAGAAATGCAGAACCTCAGGCCCCACCCAGACCTGCTGTGATGGGTTTTGTGTCTCCCCAAAATTCATATATTGAACCCTAACCCCAAGCACCAAAGGTGACCTTATCTAGAAATCGGGGCATTGCAGATGTAATTGGTTAAGACGAGGTCATAAGGGTGGGCCCTAAACCAGTATGACTGGTGTCCTCATGAAAAGGGGGATTTAGACACCAATGCACACAAGGGACCATCGCGTGAAGATGAAGGCAGATATTGGGGTGATGCTTCTGGCAAATCAAGGAAAGCCAGAGATTACCAGCAAATCACCAGAGGCTGGTGAGAGGCATGAACAGGGTCTCCCTCAGAGCCCCCAGGAGGCACCAACCCTGCCCACACCTTGACCTCGGCCTTCTAGTCTCCAGAACTGTAAGAAAAGAAATGTCTGTTCTTTAAGCTCCCTTGTTTGTGGTACTTTGTTACAGCAGCCCTAGCAAACTAATACACGTACTGAACAAAATCTGTATTTTAACAATATTCACGCGGTAACCAGTGTGAGAAGCGCTGCTAAGGGTGAACATCATCATTTTTGCTCTGATAAAATAGGAGGGGAGGAAACAAGGGAGGCAGGAAGACCCTAAAAGCATAAAAGAGCTCAGATGCATCGCTTAGAATGGCATTTTGGGAGAAAAATTAACTTCAGCTGTGGACTATGAACCTCGCTGTTATATTTGCTGAACTACCTGTTAAAGGTTGAATACTGGTTTTATATTAACTTGATGTCTAAAGCCCAATTTTTAGAGGGGAGGTGGGGGCATAAGTTACATGGTAACATCAAGTCAAGTCACCCTTGTGCACCCTTTCTGGTAAAAAGATTTCTGAATTAAGTCCAATGTGGAAAAACATGTTGATTTAAATCACAAGTAAAAACTGCTTCTAAAGTACACATACAAATTTATATGGGGAGAAACAGACACATCTGAACATCTCTGAAAACTATCTTCCTTATCTGAATGTGGAATCGTTCCTGCCTTAGCTAAGTAGTTAGGAGACGTGGAGGGCTAGTTTAAGCGCCGTCATGAGATGATTTGACCAGGTAGTGAGACTAGCACAGCCTTGTAGCAGGAGCACTGAGTTAGGGGACAGCTGGGAGGAGGCCCTGAAAACGTCCTGGTCTTTTCTCCTTTCTCTTTCAAGGGCA